TATATAATAGTTAAGATAATTGTACTACTAATTTCTATTAGTTCATTGAAAGGAACATTGTTTTTATTGTTTGATCAATCTTACATGCCTATATCTTGTAATCTGAGTAACTACTTTGAAGATAACAATATGCAATGCTATGACCATTGTCAATTTCCTATTATCTTATTTTGAAATTCTGCATCTTTTTTGTTTTTTATTATCTTTAAAATGAAAACAAGTTCTGCATTAGATACATAAGTATATTCATGTTGCAAATGGCCTATTAAATAGAGATGAAATGTTTACAAGAATTTGGGTCAGTGTGTCTCATTTAAAAATATATGGCTACATGAATGATGTCATAAATTATTCGTGTTCTTTGGCTATCAGATACAGATTTAAAAATAAACTGTTCAGGTGGTTACTTGATAGGCATGTGACTCAAAATGCAAAAGGAAATAAAGGCTTTAAATAACTATGTTGGGATATAAAATGCTTACTTGTATAATCCAGAATATATTTGAACTTAGTTTTAGAAGAATCATTTGTGTAATTAAAATATAATCATAAATAAATACATGTGTAATTATTTTGAATAACTTACGTACTTTCTAGACTATGCTCATTATCCCTTGGGCAATATCAGTAAGATTAACTCCCAATATACATGTTTAACATTTTTATAGCTTCTCCAAAAATGCTTCAGCCAGCATTTTATAAGTTAAAAAGAAGTAAAAGAAAAGATGACAAAAGTGAACCCTAATAAATTGTGAACTTTTTGTTATAATGATGTTTCAATTCAGGTTCGTCAAACTGTAACAAATGTAAAACTGCAGTATAAAATGTTGAGAATCAGGGAGGCTATGGATATTGGGGCAGGTTTAAGTGAGAGATCTCTCTATCTTTTGCTCAATATTGCTGTGAAGCTACAACTGCTCTAAAAAACAAAGTCTAATAAAAAGCAAGTAAAATATTAAAATACTGACCAATGTCCATATCTGAAAAACAGAAACATGTCAAATAAATAATCTTTTGCTATATTTCAAGGAATATAAACTTTGGTGTGTACTTTTTTTAAAGAAATAATGAAGAAATTTGAATGTTTTCACCACAAAGAAATGATTAATATTTCGGGAGACATATTAAACCTGACTAAACATTCCTCAGTGCATATACTACCAAAACAACATATTCTATTCCAATAATGTGTACAAATGAAAGCCATTTAAAAGAATCAAAGGAGAGAAGGAAGGAAAGAAACTTTCCAGATCCCTATTAAGAGCTTTAACTTACCTTACTTGCTAACACCGTTAGAAATACATCTTTAAAATTATCACTTCAGTATAAATAATGAAGTGTCAAGAGTATAAAGCACAGTATAAAATTTACACTTTTAATTATGTGCCGTCAATCAAAACAACCTTCTGAAGTCACTGTCTTAATTAATATGACTGGAAAGAACTTGGTATTTATATGGTAGCCTTTGAATTCTGACTGTATTCTAGTGGCCAGATACTAATAGCCAGAAAATACAGGATTTGGCTGTATCTACTTTACACTGTTTATGATGTCATCGTCCCTCCCAGCTTGGTGATTACTCCAATCATATTGTCTCTCAATGTATTTGCATTTCTCCTCCATGAAAGTCAAATTACCATTGATTTCCTGGATAGATTTTTCTGTATGAATATCTATTGCTCCTGAGTTGCTCAAGTGTTTTCTCTACAGATACCATTCAGAAAAGAAATGTTTTTCATGGACTTCACAATCAGCAGTGCTCTTGGAGCAATGGACAATGGAGACAGTAAAGGAAAGAACGGGTTTTTCCTCAGGCTATGAGTGCTTTATGATTTGGTCAGCGGTTTGGGGCAGACAAAATACAAAAACAATGCAACTTGAGAATTTATTTAGGATGCCAGAGTATGTGTATGAGTGTGCGTATGGATGAGTGTTCATTAGGAATACTGCTTATTTCCAGTCCAAGATTTTCTGTTTTTAACCATTTAAATCATGATTAAGCTGGATCACATCTATAGATTGACTCAACAGTCATTTAAGAAGGTGCTAGAAGGAATTTTTAAGTAGTATTTGATTTTTATTTAATGAATGTAATTCTTAAAACCAAAACACAAACTAAAACAACTCATGGTCAATAAGACTAACTAGGCAAACACCAAAGAAAAGAACATTTTCTATTTGTTATGAGATTGGGCAGGCTAATTGTTTTTTTAAGAAGAGGAGATACTGGACCAAATAGTTGCTATGCCTTGCAATTGTTTAGCATAGAAGGAAATTTACAAAAATTATAAAGTTCTTCCTTGATCAATAAGTATATGAAATTGTGTTAGCATGGATAGAATTTTAACTTTCTTCCTAAAATCACAAAATCAAGGAGCTCGAATAAGCACTGCCTTGGGAATCCTGGAGATTTCATGCTAGCCCTGGAGTTTCCCACCTTACTGAGAAAGTCACAGAAGAAATCATTTATTATCCTGAAGAAGTTGTGGAATTACATAGTACAAAAATATCCTCTAAGATATGGTTAACTTCACATTCAATCCTAATTTTTTTTACTTATTCTCTGAGACAAGGCACACATGAGTGTTTCTTCTCCAGAGCTTGGTAGAGGAAGCGACAGTTTCATCGCAGAAGACTGATGATCCTGAGTAACACAGTGTGTCTGCACATTGTGAATATTTGAAGATAAGGAAAAGAGAGAGAGAAGAAAAGTGTGAAGCTGCTTCCTGTCCATTACTTGAATCTCTACTTCCAATTTCATCATCATTCATTGAAAGTTTTGTATTTTTAAGAGTTGGGAAAGTTATGGTGGGTCTAGTCTTAGAGACTTATGTCTATATCAGTGGTTTGAAACGCAAAGCACTTCTTCTCACAGATGACAAAAGCTTTTTCTCATAGATACATAACACATATTAGACATACACATATATGTATATTATATATATATGCATATACACATACACTATATGGCACATATTGATTATACGTAGTGTACGGTTGTATGTATATGTAATGTGAATAAGGTATATATGTGGTATTCCTATAGTTTATGTATACCTTCTATAATTAACCAGATAGTATTTTATAAGTATAAGAGCTAAGTTACTTCTGATTATATTTAGAAAGCTAATTTCAGTTGAAATATTTCACCTTTCAGCTCCACCTCAGTCTGTCCTGTATTGAGAATTTTGTTAAGCTTTATATCTA